GGGAGCAGTGACGATGGCACAGGGGCTGTCTGCTGCATAATGAAAATGTAGCAAATGACGTGAAAAAGGAGCAGGGAGAGTGCTTTGAGGAGGCAGCGAAGACTGGGCGGGTGTCGATGAATTTAGAGGCAGGACGTGCTGTCTCTGCACTGCAGGTCCCAGGCAAGGGGCTGGTCTGCAGGGCCACCTCTGCCCTCCACAGGTGGCAGGGGGGGCATTGGGGTCTTACTGCCTGCTTAGCCTCGCAGAACAGCAGGCTCTTGGCACTGGCTCCTCTCAAGGGAAGGGTGGGAATAGCAGCAGGAGCCAGGCAAGGACTCCAGTTGTGCCCTTGTCCTGGGTGTGCTGGTGCCGTGTGGCCACTGCTGCCCATGCCTGACCTTGGCAGAGCTCCTCACTGGCTTTGCTATGAAGGGGTAGAGTCTGGCTGCCCCCGATCCCACATCCAGCCACTTGTGGAGTTGGCTCAGCTGGCTGGTCAGTGGAGAACCATGGGAGTAGGACATGGTTTTGTTTTTATCATTTGCTTGCTGCCGGTTCGTTGGAGTGCTGGAAGGAGCAGGAACTTCTCTGTGTGTTAGGGGAGTGGGAAGGAGGACTGATGCCTTCAGTAACAGCCCACAGTGTTGGAAAAGCATCTTTTGAGATGGTTCTTTCCCACTTATTCAGCAGACTTGTTGCAGGAACTAAAGAACAAATATTATAAAAAATGAATAAAGAACAGCCAAGGGAGAAAAGGTAGTGATGGCATAAAATCAACAACACCATACCATGGCTTTTTTATTTCTTTGAAAGATGGAGAGGTGGTGGTGTAGGTGCTGGAAATTTAAAGAAAAAAAAAGTGAAGAAAGAGACTGAAAATATTAAGAGCTGTGTGAATTTGGTCATGTAGGTTCTTTGTTGGCATGTTAACTGTTCAGTGGCTTTGGCCCCATGGGCTGTTATTGTGTGTATCAACCATGTCTGTGTTGGTAGGCAGGGAAGAATGCAGATTGATGGTGTCTAGTTCAGGTCTTTCTATAAAGGAATTACAAGTCTCATTTGTTAAGCAAACAGTACAAAAATAATCACACCTAAAGGTATTAATTGCATTATTGTTCAGTTTAGTCTTGATTACACTATCTTAATGTGATCAGAACTGCTGATATGGTTATAAATAACTCATGTTTAAGTACAGTTACATCAGATTTCTGCTTGAAGTATGGTTTCTGTATTTTACTAAAATTGCAGAATTGCTTTAAAGCTGGTTAGCAGCTGAAATATCAGGTTGTGTAATATTAGTGGAAATAACACAGTCTTTTAGGCCTGCAGGGAAAGTTGCATGCCATGCAGTTGCTGAAAATCTCGCTTAAAAATCCATTTATAAAGATGGATGCAAAAGGCAAGTGAAGAAGCAGACTTGTTTTGGGGAAAAAAACCCAGACAACCAAACCTTATTTTGTCAAAGTATTCTAGTCTCTCAGAAAAGGAGTGAGGGGCATGATGTAGCTCATAGTAGCTTTTTATTCTAAAATAGTTAAGGGAGAATATTGGACGTATTTCTGATCCTTTTTTTAAATTCTATTTGACTTGCATTTTAACTGTTGCTGCTGCATAATTGGTCCTGAAGCATCAGCGTCTCTCATTCATGGATAGATAAATAATTCAGAGGTGAACTTTTAGCCACATACTTCAACATCATAGTTTTAGAAGTTCTAAATAAGTGACATTCTTGGTTTTACAGGTGATTAATTGAGTTACAGGGAAAAAAATCAATACATCTCTGAACAACCAGTCCTGCATTACCAAAATCTTTGTCCTGCCCATGTAACCATTCTTTTTAGCTTTGCATCTCTGCCTTCCCCCAAAAAGGTAACTGCTTTACTGATATGTCTTTTATAAAACTAGCAAATAATAGATGCCAAGCAACAGCAACAACAACAAAAAAAGTGCCTGTGTAGGGAACGCCCCCAAATCAAACCCCACCTACATGAAACCTCACTGTAAGCTTGGTAAATAACACTGGAGTTATTGCATTTGCACAAGTGGAGGAAACACAGACATCTGGGACTGATCTTGGGATCCTTTGTGTGTGTGTGTGTGTGTGTGTATTTAGGTATATTCTTTTAGGAAAAGGCTGCTGATTGAATTCCATGAAGGTATGTCTAGCCTGTGTGTGTAACAGGAATTGGGAGAGGACAGGTAGCCCTCAGCAACTGCTGATCACAGCACGTGTGTTACTGTGTGAATTGTGCTGGGGAATTCTGTCAGCTTTTGGCAGACTCAACATTTGGCCAGTGTATTTCAGTTAATCGCAACCATACCTGAATTAATTATTCATGTGATAGGGATTAATAACCTTTAAGATGTAAACCTTTTTTGAGTGAAGATACATTTAGGGTCTTGAGATTGTGTCATGCTTCGCTCTTGCTTTTAACAGTCAAATTATTTTAGAGACCTCTCCTACATTTATTGTTGGAAGCATTATGTATGATTAGGGTTCCTGGACTGCTCCTGTTTTTCCAGTTGTTTTTTTGAGTTCATTAGTGTTTTGTTAGCAGTTTTAAATAGCAGGGTATAATAAAGGGGTACACTATTTCTGCTATTATAATTGTTCTGCTTGCTTTTGAAAGCTAAATACTGAGCCTAGTCATGCTACAGCAGCTGGGTGTGTATTTCCATCTTTGGAAGAGTAATTGGAATCGAGCATATATATGCCTTTATTTCAGAAAAGATGCAGGAATCCTCTGGTGTCCTAATGTAATCTAAATATAAACCTAAAGGGAATATGCTACAGTATTATTGCAGTTTTGGCAATACGTTATAAAGTTTATTGCAGAGAAATAACTAGGTCAACCTCTGGATGACCTGTCTTTTTGAGTTTCTTCAGTTAGCTTTAGGCTAGAGCTCCACCTTGTGATCCTTCAGCAGGATACATTTTCTTTTTATAGTTAATAATTTAATTATGATTTCACAAAGTTGAATGACTTCAGAAAGTTTTCACAGGCTTGAGAGTATCTTCTTGGGAAAATTAAAGTTGGAATTCTGTGAACATGGCAAAAAAGAAAAGAACCTCAAGAGCTGATTTCTACGATGCACTTCGGTTTAGATTTAACTTCTTAAAGTAATCTGCTTATTAGAGCGTATTTAATGGCTAACACAGACTTCCACTGTATGAAACGGCATCTGCAGGAATTGCATTTTTTTCAGACTTCACTGTGATGAACTTGATATATTTTTCAAGTTCTGATAGGATGGCTGCATGGGCTGTTTCCCTTTCTTACTGACTTCCTGAACGGGTGCTTGGAATGAGTCATCCAATGTGTGCCTGAGGAAGACATGGCTGGCAGTAATCTTGGATTTCCAGAAAGCTGGAATGACTGAATGGATGATCCTGAGGTGAAGGATAATGGAGGATGACCAATGTCTCTCTTTTCTCGTACCAAGAGACCATGAAATAAATCTGGAAAGTGATAAATTCAAGGCAAAGAACAGGACTCTTCATAGAGTGGAGTTTGGCTGGGGAAACTCATCTTCTTGTGTGGAAGATGATCCCTGCTGAATACTGAGCTCAAAAAGTAATTGGAAATATTAATGGAAAAGAAGAAGGTGTTATGAAGTGTAGGGACAAACAATGTGGCTGAAAAAATCCCAGAGTTATTTCTGGCTGGCAGAAAGTACTGAGGGAAACTCTGCTGATAGGAACAGAGCAAATGTGTTCTTCCTTGGCAGCTTCTCGTGGCTGCTGCTCCAGAGGACACTGCTGGTTGAGCACTGAAAATCCATGGCTCATTGTGGATGTGTGTGAATCTTGTAAAATCATCCTTTTCTAGGACAAATGCAATAGGTTTTCTTTTTCAGTCGTTACTGGAGCTTGAGCTGGACGCTGGAGATCCCTTTCACTCTTACCTCATGCACTGTTTAGGTGTTCATCTGGAGCTGTTTGCCATGGTACCAGTATATGGTTACACTCATGAGGGCCAAGTTTCTTCTTCCTTCAAGAAAAAGAGTTCTTGAAATGTGAATCTCAGTAGTTTAACACTTCAGCATCTAGCAGGAACTTTACATTTCTGTTTCATGAGGTGATTCTGACCAAACTGCCATGTTTTCTCCCATGTTTTGTGATCTGTTCTAAGGAGGATAGTTCTTGCAAGAAGTTCAAGTTGGTGTAAAGGACAACCAGCTTGTTTTGTTAAATGATTTATTTGGCTTGTTTGATGTAGAGAATATGTACTTTAATCGTGTGCCCATTCTTTTTCATAGTGTTGTTTGTCTTTGTTTTTGTTTTGTTTTTTTTAAGTCTTTCTGTGATTGTAAGAATATTGAGATTTTTGCAAAATTTGGTAGAATAGTAGGTTTGGCTTTCATAAAGGGAGCCAATTTGCGTGTAAGCATCCTGTTTGTTACTTTGGTAGATGTCTTGCTTCTCAACATTGAAAAATGTAAACTAGAAAAAATCGAACAACAGCATGTTGATAGGCTGAACTTGAAATTGGGCGGTGTGGTTTTTGAAGTTGCATCCTTGCTTTGCACTGGGACTGAACCACAGAAAGGTTCAGAAAGGATGGTGTGCTTGTGTGGATGTATCCCTTCCTTTTTCATTTTCCTGTTTTGTTTCCCCCTCCCTGTACACCTGAGCAGGTGCCAGCCTGATGACCAAGGCACTAAAGTGTGCCTTTTTCCAAGTTCAAATTGCTGACTGGAATCTAAGTAAATATTAAAAAATTATATATTAAAAATACATTTAAAACTCCCATATCCAAATGTAGAACATTTTGATACATTACTGAGCGTATAGTTTCACAGACAGCTTGGATGTTAGAATATAGCTCCTTGCCACCAAAGAAGGGAGTTTTACCCTTCCCTCCCTTGCTTGTGGCTATGCAGTCTGGTGTTTCCTGGGCCTTGGCTCTGGATATCTGCTGGTGAACCAGTTTAACTGGAGAATCTGGGGAAAAAATACTTGAGGTGTGTTTGCCCTGTTTTAGTGGGGATTGAGTTGGGTGATAGAGAATGGCAGAGGCAGTGACTGGGCAGGGACATCACCCTAATGTTTGTTACAGGGAGTGTAAATGGAATGCACTGGCCATATGCCCATGTGGTTTTAGGGAAGGGAGGAATGGAAGGGCAGAGTTTGCTGCCCTTCTGCAGCAGGGATGTTTTGGATGGAACATCCTTTGGTAGTTGCAGATACCTTGAGATTCATGCACCTCTCTTGAACCTCCTCTCTTTTAGCCTCTCTTTATTTCCACTCTGGTTCTCTGCTTTTCTGTAATTGTGTGAAATGTGAAGAAACCTGCTAAGTTCAAGGTTTATGGTTTATCTCAGCTCTAAATTCTGGAAGCTACAGTGGCCCCTAGCATTCGGAATCAGCACTTGCAGGGAAAGCCACCCGGCCTCTGTGTACACAGGATTGAAATGCAGCTCTGAGGCACAGCCACCAGACATTGAGCAACATGTGCTCAGCATGCCAAAATTAAATCATTCCCTCAAACTCCTAATCACTCCAGCAAGCTGTAGAGTCAGCAGACTGCCTCTGAAGGTTTTCCTCCTTAGCAGTCTGTCTTTAAAATACCTGAACATCATGCGTTCTTCATTTCACTCTGTAAAAGTTCGCCTGGGGTAATCATGGAAAACTTCAGCCTGGATGGTTGCATTTGAAGTATCCAGGGAGTTTTTTTTCCCGTTTAAAAATCAGGAAAATAACAAACAGAAACAACAAAATTTGTGAATAGGTGTCAATATTATTATTAAGTTTAAAGCAAGTATTTGGCAATCTTTAGTTGAAACACTGTGGGTGTTTCTGATGTTTTTCTTTATACCATGTGGCTAGGATTATCTTTGATTTTCTTAAAGTCTTGGCAAATTGCTTTAATTGTTAAAACTGCTGTTTATCTGGTTTATCAGCTTTGAAAAGCATGGAGTTGTGAAACATCTGTTTATAAGAACTTGTTTTATGAGCTTATTTTTATGAAAAATGACATGGAAGTTTGCAAATTGGAGATACAAAGTTGGTGCATGTAATGTCCTTAAATGTACACTGGGTTTTAAGTTAAACATCCAGTCTGGTTTTGGTTTGGTCAACTCGAAATACCATAGTGCCCTGAAGTCTGGGCTCTGCTGGGCATGGTGTTACAGGTCAAACTTAAATCTAGTGGAGATTCAGAAAGTAAAGCTGTTACTTGGAAGGTGTTAGTGGAACCCATTCCAGTTTGCTCATCCTATTCAGAAAATAGCTGTTGTTGGGTTGGTTTGTTTTATAAACGTTTTTGTATTTTTATTTCACTGTGATGCTTTTACCCTTTGTGGGGGTTACTTTTTAGCAGGTCATGGGAGGAGTCAGGAAATCTGTAAATGGGAACAAGCTTGGTTGGAAACAGAGGATGGTGTGATCTACATTTTCTGTGTTTTCAACTTTTTTACCCCTTCATATTTGGAATAATTCTCCCTGTATTTTTAAAATTTTATTCTAGAAGTTGCCCACTACAAAGGAAGAAAGAACAGTAAGCTTGCACTTCAGACTGCTTTTTGAATATCTTTCTAATACAGTGGTGTTCCAGAAGATGATAAAGAAATGATAGCAGCTCCAGAAATACCAACTGATTTTACTCTCCTTCAGTAAGTGTTTTAAGAATTTATAGTTTCTTTGGTAAATGTCTCTTTTTAATGGTACTGTTTGCTTTCTTCTGGAAACAAGGAAACAATTAGGGATGGTGTTCCAGACTTTGTTTCTATTGAGATGTTGATAAAGCAGTGTTTTAATTTTTTTCTCGAGTATTAATTTAGCAGAAACTAAAATAAGTGTTTTAATATTATTTTTTAAGAAGCAGACATTTGAATGTCCAAGATTTACCTTTTTATGGTAAAGGAATTGACATGGATATATTTCTCTAGACTGTTGAAATGGATTAACTTGGTTATGAAATCTCAAAAGATGCCAAGATGCAGTTTTGTGTCAGTGAGGTTATTTGCTTGGGTGTTTTTTCTTTTCAGTGAGAAATAAATATTAGAAATAAACTGGAAAATGGTTTAATATGAAATGGTGTTTTTACAACTGTTTATAATAGGTTTGTACTCCACTGGTAGAGTTCACTGAGTGCTGAAATGTTGGGAATTTGTATTTAGTTCTTTCCTGTGAAAATTAGAAACATGTAGAAGTCTTTGAAGAGGAGATTTTTTTTTCCTACCTTTCTCTTTCTTTCAGTCTTCCACTTAACCCCTTGTTGGAAGCTTTTCCAGTGTGTGTGAGCGTACAGAGCCAGCAAAACCAGAAATGGCAAAATGCATGTTAAAAGGCAGAAACCTCTTATCAGACACTTGAACTTTTGAGAGACCATAAGTTTCTGGAGTGTTTTAGAATGTTACAAAGAAATCCATAGGAGTGTGTCTCCTGTGCCCCCTGGTCATCTTTCTGATTGTGCTGTTAATTGAATCAGGAAGTGTGCACAGAAATGTGTTGAGATCTCGTACCATCATTTCAGTTAAATTCTACAGGAAATGTAGAAGTAGAGAACAGATAAGCCAAACATTCTCTGTTAATAATTCAGTTGATTTCAGACACCATCCCCTCATCAATGTTGGGATTAAGGGATTTGTGTATTGATGCATATTTTAATGTGTAGGAAATTCAACAAATGACCATGTATTTAGTATGTTTTTACCTTATAAGTCTAAACAGGACTAAAGGTTATCTTTTTTGAAGAAACCTCACCTCAACTTTTATTCTCTACCTTTTAACATAAGTGCAAACCTCTAAACTATTTCCTGAGTTTCTAACAGCATGAAGGAATCTGTTGAGACACTTTGATTGTGTGGGAAAGTGATGGAGGTTTTTTTGCTGTTGGGATTTTTCCCCTTCTCATTTTGTTTAAGTGTTTGTGGCACAGAATTTATAGTGCTCTTTGCTTTTTGAGATGCTGTAACGTTTGGCACATGCCAAGAGCAAGGTTCCCAGCCTGTTGCTATTTTCTACCTGCCCTCACATCTTTTAATCTTACTTTATGGCTCTCTTCACTGGTGCATTGTTTGGAGG